TGGTAATGGTCACATTTGTAGTTCAAAACCACATAGAACACACCACTGTCTGAGTGCTGACTTTCTTAGTAAGTAGCCAGAGACTTTCAAATAGTACCACGTTATCTTTTAAGTATCTGAAATAAGTCAAACCTAGCAGGCAGGTTTTCTGTGACTTTTGCTTGAAGATTTCCCTTGCTGTTGTCACTTGCTAATTTTTCCACATGGGCCAATAGGACTGTTTAAACAAAAACAGCGTTTGCCAAATACCTAAAATAAAAGAAGTGCAGGCTAACACCCTCTACACTTTTATGCTTTTCCATGCCGGCAGCAGGAGGTCCCAGGTATCTATTTTACATTTCGTGAAACTTCACAAAGAGCACATTTTGTTCCAGAGATGGTAAAATAGTGGTAGTTATTGTTCACATGGACATTGGCATTTGTATCCTAACCTGGGAAGAAAAGCATCAAAGCATTGCTACTGAATATTAAATTTTCAGATATTTGTGAAAAAGACAACTAAGGAAAAATGGGGGGAAATCCTAGATTTTTGACCCACGCAATTGGATAACACATAACTCAAATGAGAAAATAGGTAATGGATACATTTGAGTGGGAGGGGAATAAAGATGATCTTTGAGTATTTAAAGTGTGTGGTGCCTATCTGATATTCCAGATCTAAGCAAAGACATGAAGCACGCAGCTGAACATGCAAGTTTGGAGCTTGGGGGAGACATTGGAATTGTTTATATTCATTCAGTTGTTTCGAAGGAAAGTGCAGAGTGGAAGGGTGTAAACACATCTAGGTTTCTACTCATTTTTGAAGATGATTTGGTTTTTCTCAGGCACGAAGTGTCTTTGTTATAAAATAAAGACTTGAAAAATGTTATAAAATTTCCAACACCAACATTGTGTACCTACTAGAGGCCCATTGCAGGAAGATTCCTGCAAGAAGATTCCTGCCACCTCTGCCCCACCCTCAGCGCTTTCCCTCCTGCAGCCGCTGTCCCCTCTCACACCCCCCACATTTTCCCTCCTGCCTCTGCCCTGTGCTTTCCCTTCCCTCCCACTACCTCTGCTCCCCCACCCCCACTTTCCCTCCCGCCTTTGCTGCTGCACCATGCTTTCCCTCCCGCCACCTTCCCCCTGCATTTTTCCTCCCACTGTCACCCCCTTGCTCTTTCCGTCCCACAGCTGCGGCCACGGCTGCCTCCTTTTCCACTTTCCCTTCCTCTTCTTTCTATGCTGTCTTCAGTCTTCATTCCCTCTGCATATGCAAGTTAACCTCCATCTTTGTTGGGTTAATTTGCATACCCGCTCTGAGTGGCTGGTGGGCGTAGTGGAGTGATGGTTAATTTGCATGTTTCTCTTGTATTAGTGTAGATGTGATCTTCATGCATAATTGGCTGTTTTATGTGAAGAAACACTTCTTTTTTATAAGCCTACCTCTGAGACCTCTGCGACCACCAATGGTCTACAGACCAACCGTTGGTGACTGCTGTGGTGGTCTGCCCTTAGAAGAGGATCCCTTTGCCATACAGACTTCTTGTCCACTTACCACAGCATCATTCATCTGGGAGTTTTCTGCCTCGGGTTTCCTTCAGTGCATCAGAGACAAGGGAATCGCTGGGAAGCGTGGCATTGTTGCCAGGTTTCCAGGTTGCACTCTAAAAGTGTTACACACGGTTTCCTCCACATATCCCTGTCAATGAGGTTGTAAACAGTGACCCAGCTTGATTCGTGGATGAAATGATGTGATTTCTGAGCACTCCAGTGACCTCAGAAATATAACAGGTCAAATTTTAGGAGATTTTCTGTGAAAATGCACATATGGTATATTCTATGAACACTCAGCATTTTGTCAGTGCTGGAGATTTTTTGAAGGGCATACTTGCTTTCTATGGGAAATTCCATTCCAGTCACTCCACATGGTTTATCTGGACTCCGGCTACACTGACTCTAGTAATAGTAATCTCTTATTTCAAAGGTGTCTTGTTTTCCTTTCTCAAATGCTTCACCCTCACCAACACGTATTAATAGTCTCTTTAGATTGTCAATAGCTTGGACATTCATGCAGTCATTCTTGACTTTTGTAACAACAAGGATTTCAGTCCAACAGTGTGGATGAAAGCCTGTCTGTTGTGAATTCTAAAGCAAAATGGAAAAGGGGAAATAATGACAAGTGAGAAAATTCAAGGAGTTTTACTGTGAAGTTCTATGTGACAGTTTATTTGGGGGTGGGGGTGGAGTGGGGGTTGGGAGTTTATTGAAGAATGGTGAAGATACTGAAAGTGTACAAATGAGAACACTCCAGCAGAGGAGCAACATGTGATGGAGGACAGAGGGGATAATTGCAGGAGTGGAGAGAGGTGGGGTACTAAGCCAAGGGATTGCCTTGGACAGTAGTGCAGGCATTGCTTTTATTGTAACAGGAGGAGAGTGAATGGGACAGTTGAGTGTCTCTGCTGATGCTTCTGTTTTCTCAGTGAAATGAGAAACAAAGGTCTCAGCAGGGAGTGAGGAAAAGGTCTGGGGTTTGAGGAGAGTGGAGGTCTGTTGAAATAGTTATTGAAAGTGTAGGGGTAAATTAAATAAATGTGGTAGGGTTTGCCAGGGAGCACAGGGCCCATTCGAGGGTAGTGATCATGAATTTGAGGAGAAACACTCAGCATGATTGCAGTTTATTTGTTCATTTGTTTCCTGGCTTACTCAGCTGCTTGGGTTTGGCAGAGATGTATCATTAACCCAGGTTAGAAGTCCTGATTTTTGAAAAGAGTGGGAGTTAAGAGTAAGGTAAGGGAGTGAGTTTTAATGATGGAGAATGGGGACCTCATCCAGCAAGGAGGGAAGTGAGGGGAGGAAGAGAGGAGGTGATGGGCACTGAGAATGGGGTTGGCCCAAAAGCTTTTGGGACCCTCCAGGTTGGAGTCAGAATGGTTGCGGTAAGAATATTCTGAGGATGAACCGGAACAAAGAAGTGGTGTTTGAAATTGGGAGTTAGGTGAGTGTTTAGTTACAGATGAAGACAAGTCTAGGGTGTGATCCTGAGTTGGAGCTGAGGTACAACAGAGGGCAAGGCCACTGGAGGCGAGGAGGGCAAGGCTCTGGAGGCCATGTTGGAACTGGGAAGGAGAAGGAAGAGCAATAAAACAGTCTTCCCTTAGCAGGTGGTGTGTGTACCTTCCCCTTGGTTGTTAAATACTCCTGCAGTCAAGCATCCCGAGCTGGAGAAGATGCGGGGCCACCCTCTGTAAGCAAGGACCATGACAGGGCATTTCCTGGGCTGTGTCCCAATATTTTTCTGCTAACTTTTCACGAACGGCCTTCAGGCCCTGGGCTATGACCACACATACCATAGAGGGTGTTTTTCTATCTCTTGTCGTCTTTACCTTTATTTCTATCCCTCACACACATCACTATTTCTTTCTGCCCGTCTTTCATGGCTCAGGCTACACATAGCTCTTCCTTGGTGAAACCTTCCCTCCCAATTCACATTCCACTCTATTCCAAGAGTGCTTTGTACATACTGTGCTTTTTTTTTTTTTTTCATTTACCATACTAGAAAACAAGAATGAGTTTAGTTATCAGTTTCTAGTACACTCACTTATAAGCTCCATGAGGGCAGGGCGACGGCTGTTTCCTCAGTGCTTACAATGGGAAAAGTCCTCGGCACTCAATAAACAAGTGCTGTAGAATGAATGAAAACTCCCCATCGTTCTCCCTGCAGTCAGAGTGAAGGGCTTCATCAGCATGTACAGGGCTATTTGAGGATTTTGCCTTAAGAGGTTACGACACCCTTTGAAGTTTGAACACTTAGGTATTGTAACTATAAAGTGTGCATTTAGTTTTAAAAACAAAGGTAGGTGTGAGTGAGAGGTAAACTTGAATTTTACACAGAATAGTCTGTATTTATGGTTTAACTGGTGGTATTCTGAATGTGCTGCGTATATCATAATTGGCATGCTGTTTACATGGGCACTGACTCAGCGGAAAACTAACCACTTTTGAAAACACAGTTCAAGACCTGCAGATGAGGAGTAAATAGACTCCTGGTCAAATAAAAAGCCCTAAGGGTAGTGAAATCACCTTAGAATTCCATCCACCCCTGTTATACCATGGCATTTTGCTATTGTATAAATTAAGTGTGTTATCAGTTATCTTTTTTAATCAGGGAGCAGTTATTGCAGATTAAGTATGATTTAATTTACATGATAAATAAAAGGTCTAGATAATAATTCTCAAATTAAAAAATAATCCCTTGCTTCTTTCCAAATATTTAATTTCCCTTTGGGTATGATCATAAAACATGTTTAGTGCTGTCAAAGTTGTCTGAAGTTCTGCATATTTTTAAAGTTCCAAACTTCAAAATCAATTATTTCTATGGTTTACAAGAATGTATAGAAAGGTGTTGCCAGCTGGTGTGGCTCAGTGGTTGAGCGTCAACCTATGAACCAGAAGATCACAGTTCAATTATCGGTCAGGGCACATGCACCAATTTCAGGTTGGGGGTTTAGAAGGCAGCTAATTGATAATTCTTTCATCATTGATGTTTATATATATATATATATATATATATATATATATATATATCCCTTCCTCTCTCTGAAATCAATTAAAAATATTTTTTTTAAAAAAGAAAATAAAAAAAGACAGTGTTTTATCATTTGACCATTTAGGTATAGGAGAATGGTGAAGGACTCTTAGGATTTGTGCTGTCTTTTATAGTGGTTGACATTTGTTGAAAAAAATGAGATTTTTTGGAAAAATTTCAGTAGCTTTCCGTTATTTTCATTACATTTCCTAGTTTGAGGGTGGGGGGAAAGTCCAGGTTTCTTTGGATTAAATCGACTCAGTGTAACCAGTGAAAATTTTATGATTTCCATAGAAAACGTTTATCATTGACCCCTTTTCCACCATTTTCTAAGTGTGTTAAAGAGTCGTTAGAAATCAGTGTATTTTGCTGCTCTGTTACCCCCAAGAACTATTGAATTTTGAACCCCTCACCACTCACTCTCTTCTAGCTGCTTTCGAAATCTATTGAACAACTGAAGCAACCAGGCAGGCACCTGGAGGAAGCGGAGGAGGAGCTTCAGGGGGACCAGGCGATGCAGGAAGACAGAGCGCCCTCTAGTGGCAACAGCACTAGGAGCGACAGCAGTGCTTGTGTGGAGGACACACTGGGACAAGTTGGGGCTGTGAAGGTCAAGGAGGAGCCAGTGGACAGTGATGAAGATGCTCAGATCCAGGAAATGGAATCTGGGGAGCAGGCTGCTTTTATGCAACAGGTAATAGGCAAAGATTTAGCTCCAGGATTTGTAATTAAAGTCATCATCTGAACATGAAATGCACTGCAGGTATTGGTCAATGGATATTATTTCCTATCACTGAATAATTTGATTTTAGGTGTTTAAGGGTTGTAACTAATGTGTATATATCTACATAGAGGTCTCTCTCTAAGCTGATCTCTATATAGATATCAAGGTTTCATTGAGATTTCACTGGCAAGGAAATACCTGCTACACTAAATATTATACTACATGAGTATCCAAGTAATTAACAGGCTTTAAATTCATCCTCAAGCCTGCCACGTCAATTACTTCTAAGGAAAACGAACTCACCGTTGTTTTAATTTATCTGTTGAGATCGGTGACTGCTGGATAGGTTCCCAGTCTGATCAATGACACATTCTATTAGTTCTTGATTTTTTTTTTGATACGTAGAATTCAATTTTCACATAGTTGTACATAATGTATCATACTACAGTCTTGAACACTGTTAAAGGTAGTCTGCCCCTTCCTTCCTCTCCCATTTTTGTTAAGTGAACTGTTCTGGTTACCAAGACAATAGTCCTAAGTAGGTTACTGTATAGATTACAATTGAAAAATATTAGGAGTAGAGGTGGTTTTAAATACATAGATGCAAAGTACAGCACTATTTTAAATATTACATTATGTCTCACCGAGCACTGCTCATTTTACTTTACCTGTCTTATTTGAGGACTCTGTCTATTAAAAAAAAAAAAAAAGAAAAAAAAAGAAAGAAAGAAAAAAGATCAAGTGAAGCAGATGCAAATGTGGTAAGAAGTAATATGTGCAGCCTATGGTCCAATCAGATACCCTATTGTAATATCTACGATTATGGAAAACAGAGCAACAGTAAAATTACCATCTGATATGAAGTCAAAATCAAGTTTAAAAGAAGCAAGTATATCATATTTTATTATCATTATCCCTAGGATCTCTTAAGTATAATTCTATGGTGACATGACATGTGCCATACCATTTTGGCAGAATTAGGAAAGTGGCTCCTAACAAGAGAACCTGCTTCTCCATAACGTACCTTTAGAAGGACTGTGTCCTTTGAAGCTATCAAATACAAACAACTTGGAAGGCAACAGAAGACTGTTTATTTAAGTCACTTCTTTGTCAGGTTCCTGCTGTTCTCCTACAAAAAAGCGGATTCTATGAGGCTGAGCAGGAAATGCCTTGTGGAAACAGGAAGTCCAAGTGATTCATGTGCTGGGGAATGCAGGGGGGAGAAGCGGAGGATAGTGTTTTACTCTTTCTGTTTTTAAAGGGCACTCTATGAATTGATTTATTGTCTAAGAAAATAACACCACAAGTAGGGAAATTGTTAAGGAAGCTTTTCACTGGAACATTTCCTTCAATACTCCCTTTTGATATGTTTACCTTGTTTTATAGGTTTACTTTTGTTAAGCTAGTTAAAGAAGTGTCTTATTAAGACCCTTTAATATGAATAATCCAAATTGACCTAGAATCGTTGTGGAAGTTTTTTTTCCTTTTAAAATATTTATATTTCTAAATCCGAGGTATTAAAAGGTGTAGTATCCTGTTTCAAGGGAGATATAGCAGTTTTGCCAAATGTAGACATTGTACAATTGTATGTTCTTGGCACGTGTTGTTTACATTTTGCTGTGACATTTAAAAATATTTCTTAAAATAAGATTACTGCTAAAGATACATTATCCTTTTTTAAAAAGTCGCCTTTCAAATTAAATTAATATACCTAGAAGTTAGAAAGTTTAAAACTTTTCCATATAATGAAAAAGACCTGATAATTTGACAAATAGCTGTAATACTTCCTATTACCAACATATTTTGATTAGTATATTCCTTCAGATTAAAATGACTTTTTGTCAGTTATTTTGCATTAAAATATGGCATTCCTAAGATAAAACTGTATATTTTCTCCATCTCATAAATATACATTTTCTTTAAAGTCTTTTTTTTTCAATTTCATAAAAAAGGGATAGTGCATCTTTTAAAATACATTTTATTTGGGGAGGAACATGTGGCTGAGCAGACTTTTGTATAATATTACTTCAAAGATATGTAATGAAGAACAAAAAAAAGCCTATTTTTTATAATGTCACTTGAGAGAGCTTCATCAGTACAGTTGGTGGACGTTAATTTGTTTGAATTTGATATTCTTTGAATTTAATCAAGAAACTACCTGGAACCAGTGAAAAGAAAAGCTGGACTTAAATAATCTTAGAGCTAATTGATAATTGTTTCTTTTAAAATCTACTGTATTTATTATAATTTACACCCTTGATGGTGATCTCTTGTTTTGTGTTGTAAATATATTGTTTGTATGTTTCTCTTCTTGCCTTCTGTTATAAGTCTCTTCCTTTCTCAAATAAAGTTTTTTTTAAAAGATCCCCTTTCATACATATGGCTTTGTGTAAACTTGATATCTAATCGAATTCGAAGCTCATGCAGTAGGTGTCACATACCAAAATACATTGCCATTCTTTGTTGAAACAGGAAAATAAACATATTTTGAGCCGTTACTTCTATGCCATTAAAAATAATAAATCCAACAATAATGATTTTAAAATATTTACGTCAGTCATTATCAAATAGCAAATACAGGTAAAATTTGTTGCATTTTTAATACCCCAGTGTGGCCTTTTCCATGTTATCATCTTGATGTCAATATAAAATTTTATGTAAATAGATGTCAATTCCTAAGTTTTCTCAAGTAAAAAAAAAAAAAAACCACCAAAAACCTATTTTTAATCAGATTAATGTAATCCCTTAAATATAACAAGCACTCAATAAATATTAATATAAATTATTTATCATGTATTATAACAGTACTACCTACTACAGTGAGATTCTGACCTCTAAGTATAAAGTGACAGTACTTAAATTTAAAGAGAAAGGAGTAATTAAATTACCTCACCTTATATGGAAATAATTCTTTAATAGGACTGTGAGAAATAAGGAACCTGACTCAGGTAAAGGGAAGTAGACAGGACACATCCCCCAGGCCATGCCAGTCCTTGTTTCTCTTCTGGTCAATTGCTAGCAAAACTTAGTAGCCAATAGTTCATATTGTGTCGCTGTGTATTTGGTTCAATAGGTTAAGAATATTTGTTATATTATCTTTGATTCCTTTCACTAATAGTGTCATACAAATTAAAGTTACTCTAGGTCACAACGGTATTGCCCTAGATTGTTAAGGATACTGGGGCTAATGTCATTGGCTATTATAAAATGGACTATCTTTCCATATTTTGATCAGAACTGTGCGAATACTTTCAGTATAAGACATGCTTTCCTGAAAATTACCTTTGGACTGAAAAATTGCAAGATGAGCTAGTTACCAGCCATCCTCAAAAAAAGAGATGGAGGAAGCAATTAGATAATGGTTTTATACTTTATGTTTGATTTCCAAAGTGTAAAGTGGCTATTTCAATAAAAATCATCAATCTCAGCTTTTCTGAAGAAAGTTTTTCTTCAGAAAGGTGTGTTTTTTGTTTTGGGGATTTTTTTTTTTAACCAGCACAATAAATATCCATTAGATTTCCTTAGTGGAGGTGGCTGCTGAAATGGAGATTGCTGCTTTTCATAGAACTGAGAAAGACAGTCTTTCAGATATTTTTATGTTTCACCTTTCTCTTTTTCTAAAGGATCTAATAAGAAGGAATTAAGACACTACACATTCTTTTGAAACCTAATACTCAACAGATATATAGACAACAGTATTATTTTTAATGTGGCATTTCTTTGTGATTTTTTTTTCGTTAATGGAAATATGCAGTTGTGGGTATATAATTGTAGGTTGACAATAATAAATAATTAAGGTCTTCAAATTATAACCAATTATAATCAGGAACTCAAAGATACAAGGGAAGGATTTTGAGATTATCATTCCTTTCATAATCTATAATTTTAAAGAGAAACTATGGGAGAGCAGTCAAGCAAATAAGATAAGATATTGGAAATGTAACTTTTTAGAACCTGCCGATTTATAAAGGTTTCTATTCTCATTTTATTAAAAAACAAACAAACAAACAAACAAAAAACTTCTTAAAGGCTAATAAACTGTAGGGTTTGGACAATGAAAATTTGGGGGATCATCTTGATTTATAAAAAGACAACTAAATTTAACTATTGCAAACATACAGTGTACCATGTTTTGTTTTCAGTACCTTGCATCTGTTAACTAACTGAGTCCTCACAACAACCTTATCAGGTAGGTATTTTTGTCCCATTGTAGAGTTGAGGGCACTGGGTCACAGAGAAGTTAAGATCAAGGTCACCCAGTTAGTGACACTCTCATCTGAACCCAAGAACCCAGGCACTAGAGTCCTTGTTCTCACACTTTACCACCACACTGTATATTGTGCGACATCCTTTTACTTGTCCAAGTTTATTACTACGTTATCCTCCCCCCCTCCTTTTCTCTGTCCATCAGCATTTTCACTGTTTTGAATCAGTTTTCTCTTTTAATCATTGCTGTAATTTATGAGATTAGGACTCTTATTTTTTCCTAATTCAAAGATGACAGATCTAATTTTTGTTAACATTGAAATCTTTTAGAATCCTGAAAATCTGTGAGTTTATTTTTTCTGATCTAAACATTCCTAGGCTGGTGTGGAAAGGATGGACTCTTGGAATTAACTCTTTGGAGGAGAAAAGGAGAAAAGATTTTAGAAAGCTCACAGCTTTTCTTCACCACTTTTTTACCTTCATTCCCCAACCAACACTAGGAAACTCCAGTTTCTAAACCATTAGGATGCTGCCTTTTAACAACTTTTTTTAACTATAATATTAGGGATGCACTGGATATAATCATTTTGACCTAACATAGGCTCTATAAAACGTTGTGAAGTGGGAAAATGGGGACTTTGTTCTAGACCTCCCAGGTGGTTATCTAATTGAAAGGAGCCTAAAAATCCTCTTGAATGAAGTTGTTGACAGTCCAGTTCTGATAAACCTCCCAGAGGTTCTGATTCTGATGTCCTGACAGGGAT